GATTGGAGAGAGGTTGGGGAGCAGATTGCTCACTCTACCTGTTCTGGACCCCCCCAGTGATGGTGAGGTGTTGGATTCAAGCTGAGATGAAATGTGGCTTGCTGGGCTGTGAAGAGGTCCTCTCAGGTTCCCCTCTCTGAGTCTACTGCCCATCTACTCCCCAGGCACTGTGGGTCCCATCCCCAGCTCTCTGAATCCTTTCCTTCTGCAGCGTGAGTCTATAGACTTCAGCCCTCTAGTGGGAATCATAAAATGAATGAGACCCAAGTTTCTTGCCCCCCCCCACTCCCCCGCCCTACACACAGCTCTCTCCACTCTTCACACTGGTCTGTGGAAACAGGAGCTTCCTCTCCCCACTTGACCCAAAGTCCACTCACGTTTTTATTTGATCCTGGCAGTCGCCTCCCCTGATGAAGTATCCATACCTACAGGCCAATAATGTATCACAACTAACGTGCTGTGTACATACCCAGGTGTGCAATCTACTGTTACTGTCTAATGCATGAGTAGGATGTAAGCCCAGTAGGTCAGGGATTTATGTCTGCTTTCCTCAAGGAGTTAAGCTAGAAGACACCTGTGAATGGTAGGTGTTGACTACATACTTGAAGAATCAGTGAGCTGATTTGTACATCTTTCTGATATCTGAGTTAGCCAGTAGTCTCTCATTCACCTTTAGGGATCTTTGCTCCAGTAACATGTATCCCAAAATGGAATTTTGAGATTCCTTTATTAATAGGCAAACCATGTTTTGCCAAGAGCCTGATATTAGAGAGCAGAGAGTCAGAGAGCTTCCTCATGGAGGAGAGGAACATAAAGAAATATGAACACTTACGTCCTCTAATGTGAGCATGGTGGGTCTGTAAGATAATCACTGGACTGTGAGCCACAAGGTCTGAGAAGGTTCTAGCTCAGCAGCTGCTCCTCAGGAGAAAGATGATGCTTTCTGCTCCCACAAAGATTTACAGTCTCAGAAACCCTGTACCTGGTCTTTTGGAGTTAGTAGTGACTTAATGACACTAAACAAAACAGCTCCTCCAGCAGCCCTTTCTAGAGAGCTAGGCAACAGAGTAACCACATCCCATAGCCCATTCATTGTATTCCTTTAATGACCCTATGTAGGGGTCCTATCAAAGGGGCAAACAGAAACACAGAACTATAGCTAATAGGTGGCAGAATCTCCACTGTGTGGTGGAATGGGTAGGCACTTACTTTTTGAAAAGTACTTCTAAGACCTCTTTGGTGGTGCTGAAGGACCAGTAGGTTCTCAGGAAGCTTGAGATATAGGTGGTGTCATTTTCCTGGCAGGCAGTCATTGGGGGATCCACTAAGGTCTCAATTTAAAATAGTTTGTATGTCTGCACTGAGGATGTTTTATGCTGCTTCTGCACTGGCGCTTGGTTACCCTGGAGGTGGGACAAAGGAGCCACATACATTCTAGTGTACCACCATGGATAACTAGGAGGGCCAGAGGTTGGAACACACACAGATAATACCTAAGTCATAATACCATTATCATCATTTTTATCATCACAACTTCCCTCACAAATTTTCCCAAATCCAGACATTTTCTTCAGAAAATCTCCTCTGACCCCCATGTATCTCTCTCCCCAGTGGACATTTCCTTATTCTTAACACATCCTGTCTTAGTTAGTTCCTGATTTCCTAAATAGTCACCTAACTGGGACCTCATTAGGGTCATAGATATGTGGCCTAGAGGCTGAGGTAGTTGGGAAGCAGTTGTGATACTGCCCAGGTGGGATCACAGTAGTGTTATCCCCAAACTATTTTAAATCCATTTATCTGAGCCAAAGAAGTCCTGGTGCAGTGCTGTAGGATAAGCATTAGACTGCTAACCACAAATTAGAAGTTCAAAACCAACATCCAGTCATTGGAGCCTACTAGATGGCACTTAATAACAACAACAACAAGTTAGAAGCTTAGGATGGAACCAGGATGTGTGTACTTTACTCTTTAACTTCTGTGTAGAGCAGGGGAGAGGAATGCTTGGTCCATGGGATGTATGTTGGTTGTGTTCTGTAGAGTCTGTTCCCTGTATAGGATTTCCTAGGCAAGAAATCTTTAAAGCAGCAAGAAGCTACATCTTTTTCATGTGGAATTTCTGGAATTTTCAAACTGCTGACCTTGAGGTTAGCAGCCCGAGTCATAACCACTACACTATCAGCGCTCCTTTGTGTGTCATAAAAGAGCTGCGATATCACTTGGTCTGACCCAGCCAAGGCAACCTCAGTTCCAGCCATCACTTTGGGGGTGAATTTTATTTTAAATGCTTGATTAAATAGAACAAACTAATTGTTAATTTGAAAATTTAGGATGGCCCACGGATAATGTTATATATTGTGGCAGAAAAAAGGTTCCTCATTACTGGTCTAGAGTTGCTATTGTTGTTAGGTGCCATTGAGTCAGTACTGACTCACAGTTACCCAATGCACAAAAGAACATAACACTACACAGTCCTGCACCAACCTTGCAATCCTTGCCACATTTGAGACCATGGCTTTTGCCACTGTACAAATCCATCTCTTTGGAGATTGTCCTCTTTTTCTCTGACCCTCCACTTTACCAAACAGGCTATCCTTCACCAGGGACTGGTTCCACCTGATGATATGTCTGAAGTATGAGAGGCAAAGTCTGCCAATCCTGGCTTCCAAGGAGCATTCTTACTATATTTCTTCCAACACAGATTGTTTTCTTCTTTTGGCAGTCCATGGTACTTTTAGTAGTCTCCTCAAAAACCATAACTCCAAAGCATCAATTCTTCTACAGTCTTCTTTATTCACTGTCCAACTTTCACATGCATATGAGGTTATTGAAAATACCATGGCACGGATCAGACACATCTTAGTCCTCATACTGACACCTTAACTCTTCAACACTTTCAAGTTCTTGTGCAGCAAATTTGCCTAACGCAATATGTCTTTTGATTTCTTCACTGCTGCTTCCATTAGTTTTGATGTTTTTTCCAATTAAAATGAAGTCTTTGACAACTTCAAACTTTTCTCCATTTATATGAAAGTTATCTGTTGCACCAGTGATGAGGATTTTTGTTTTCTTTACATTGACATGCAACCTGTAATGAAGGCTGACATCTTTGATTTTCATTTAAGTCTAGAGTTAGTTCCTCTCAATTCCCTGAAGACTTCCAATGGAGCAGAATCTAAATGGCAGCTTTCACTCTGCTCAATATTCCCATGGATCTCAATTGCTTTCAACAAAATGCCCAAATAACACATGGTATTAACCTTAGTCAAGATTCTCTTAGACAAAATAAGACAGCAATCGATACAGATCTATAACATTATTTTATGTACTTATGCCTGTTGAAATCTATGAGATGCATGGAAAGGTCAGTTCATTTCCATTACACATCTGCTCATCTGATGATTAGAATATATCTCTCCACATAGCATGCAACCTGGGAAGGTACTACTTCTTGCTAGTGTGCATGTGCTTTATGATGATTTACTTTGTGATGTGTTTTTCAGTGTTACCAGGACATCCTACCTTAAATTTGTGACTTCTGCCTTCCTAGAATTCCCCAGGACCCTAGCACCAAGGTTGATAGTATAGCAAGAGGAGAAAATTCACTTCATATAAATCTGATCAAGAAGCTAGGGACGGTTCTCTATTTCACATGAAATTTCCCCCAGTTGAGGAGGTCAGAGGGACATCCATGCTGATAGAGGTGATCGTGCCAGCTACTTGCCACCAGCCCTAAAGTCTAGTCCACTATGGACTTGGAGACTTTCATGGTCTGTGTTACGTGTTACTATGCTGGTCTGAGTTATCACCTATGATGGCTTTCCTTTTTTGAGGGACATACCCTCTTAGTGGATACCTGCTGGTGTTATTATTACCAGTACCATATTATTATTACTAACTTCTCCAATAAAAGCATATTAAAAGTCATTGCAAAGAATGCACTTCTTCAATAAAAGCATATTAAAAGTCATTGCAAAGAATGCAGTAAGGGACCAGGTATGGGAGTTAATAAATATCTCAGGGAAAGGGTCATATATAAATGGGATCTTCATATAGATCACATCAGTAATGTAAATACTTTGCTGAAAAGAAACAGATAGTAAAGTTCCAAATGAAGGAGAAAACAAAATTACTTCTTTAGTTTCATTCAAGAGACCAAAATTATAGAGTGCTTTCATCAGGGGAATTTAATTTTAAAAAATAGTGATTGATAATAGAAGAGTAAGTATAAGGTGTAAGGAGAACTCTTAAAGATTGTCCCAAGGGAGATGCAACACAAGACGGGAAACATCTGGAAGAGCCACCTGCCCAAGGGTAAACTCAGACCTCAATGGAGAAAGTGTGATTGTAGCCTCATGGATGGATAAAAAAATCTCTGTCTTGCCAGAACCAGATGTATCCACAGTCCCTGAACAAGAATGAAACCCCCACTGCATGCAGGTGAGATGTAGCTAAAGTGCCATTGTGACCAGGTGGTCTGTAGTCTGGAATGTGTGGCATCCTGCTGTTAGGGATGGGTGAAAGCCTCACCTACCAGAATGTGGTGAAAGGTAACTGAGGGGTTGTGCATTCCTTGGGTGTGACTGGAGCAGAGCTCAGCCAGGAAGAGGGCAGCCATGTCTGCAGGTCAAAAAAGAGAAGGGAGCCACCCCAGGTAAGGCTGGCTGTCAGAAGTAGGGCTGACTGGAAGTCTGGGGATCTAAGTTTCAGGTTAAGGTAAGTGAGTTTCTTGACAAAGAGGTCAGAGACTTTGCCTAATAGAAAAGGGAAGGAAGTCTATGTTTGGGGGGTGGGGGATGGCTTGTAAAGGTATGAAAACAGAGATTAAGCTGCACTTCTGAGGGTCTTCATTGGTAGCAAATCACACCCTGGGCAGAACTGTGTGTCTCAGAAAGCCCCATCCCAGGAATCCCCAGCAGTATCTATGAAGGAGAAAAGAAGGGCAAGTTCATATATCCAAAAGAGGCCCTGGAAGGAACAGGTCCTATGATAAAGGGGTCATGGATCAGCCCAATCTGACTCTCAGTGACTTCTGGTCTCAGCAGGAAGCCTATGACAATGTGATTTTTGCGGTAGAAGAGGCTTGCTGTGAGGGCTGGTTTTTAGTGATCAGGCAGATGCTTACATGGCCCAGGAACGCATCCATAATGCAGAGATTGGCTATTAGGAGCCCATCAATCCCAAGTATGAGGCCACCAATGCCATGTACCACAGGTACACAATCCGTACCTGTCTGCCTCTTGCTGAAGGGATATGGGCATTTACAGAGTCAGGGTGCTCCAGAGAAACTGGTCTTGGTTCTGGAGCTCCCCTGGTCCACAGTGAGAACAGCTAGCAGGAACACATGGGCCCAGTTTATTTCCTTCCTCTGCTACATTGTCTACATCATTAACTGTATTGAGCAAAATGCAATGGACAAATTCCATGATCTTATAATTCAATGTGTCCATAAATTTACCGAAGACCTCTGCCCATTCACACAGCCTCTCCCTACTGATACAGCCTCTGCTTTTGTCTGTCCCTCTCCCTACTCAACTCAGTCAGTTCCATAACAGGGCCCATTAGTAATTGTTCATCTTACCTTTTGATCATATCTGAAAACCACCAAATGTAGTTCTGTCTTTTTCCCAGGCAGCACCCTGTTTCTAGAAATAATCTTTGTATACACCAGCAGGCTTCTAAAAGTTGGTGGAAATTTTCTATGATCTTTTATTCCCTTTTCCCACAAACTTTTTTTTTTTTAATTATAAACTGGTGCAACTATTTTTTTTTTTTTTTTTGGTTTTTATTGTGGATTGAGTGAAAGTTTTCAGGGCACATCATCGGTTTCACTTTCAAACATTCATATACCTTGTTTCATTACATTGATTATAATCCCCTCCACATATCATCATTTAACAGAGTTTCTCTTTATCCTCTTTAGCTTTTTTGGGGGGGAAAAACTTTGCCTTTTTGGAATTTACAGTTTCGGCTTTTATTCCCACAAACTTTTTGATGAACCCCTGGAATGTACAATGCTGTCATTTGGACATTGTATGCTCACTTCTTTGCCTCTGCTTTTTCCCTCCAATGTTCTCTTTAGATCCTTTGGAGTCAGAGCACATGGAACAGCTGGGCTTCTTAGCAGCCAGCATGGTGTGGTTGAGATAATTTGCCCAGTCTTTGCAGGCTAGGTAATCATTTCTGTCTGGTATAATGGTAGCTCACTGAACATCATGTCCCATTGGACAGGACACAGCTTCACCTATTCTGGAAATGGAATCTTGGCTCAAAGAGGATGTGTATTTTATAGAGACTGCAGAACTATCCACCATCCAGAAGTGCTGCTGTGCCAGCTCAGTCTCAATCCATGTTGGAGATACTCACCCTTTCCCCAGATTTCCAGGGACCTGATTTTCTTTTGCTCTCAATGAGATACATTATCCTATCCTAGGAGAAATCTACCAGCTGTTCTTCCCAGGTTGTGCGGGAGATGGGCTGAAACTTGACCATTCCTAGGAGGGTAAGAGACTACTGGAAAGAGGTACTCTGTGAATCCAGTACTCCACTGTGGCTGACATGTGTGAGGTTTTACATGGTCTTTAATCCATGTTGAGTTTGATGTGGTATATGGTGTAAGATATGGTATGGGTCTTGTTTTATTCTTTTACAATTGGATTTCCAGTCTTGCCAGCATCATTTGTTGAAGAGCCAATGTCTTCCCTTTAAAAGTGTTTTGACCCTCTGTTAAAGATCAGTATGTGGATGGGTTTACTTTTGGTTTTTCAATTCTGTTGCAGTGATATATATATATATATCTTTCATTGTACCCAAATAAGGCTATTATGATCACTGTACCTGTGTAGTAAATTTTGAGATCAACTTTGTTGTTCTTCTTAAATTGTGCTTTCCTTATCCAAGATCACTTTCCTGACCATAAAAACTTCATGATTTTTTTCCATCTCTGTGAAGAATTTTTGGAATCTGCATTGGGATTGTATTATATCTGTAGACTAGTTTGAGTAGCATTGACATTTTGCATGATGATAACTATTCCTAGTCATGAGCGTATTATATTCTATGTTTGTAAATCTGTTTTGCTTTCTTCCAGTAGAAATTGGTAGGTTTCTTCGTATAGGTGTTTTGTTCCTCGAGTTATGTTTATTCCTAATTTTTTCATCCTTTGGGTGGCTAATATAAATGATATTATTTACCTAATTTCCTTTTCAGATCTATCTTTATTAATCTAACAGAATTCAACTGATTTTTGTATGCTGCTGCTTTGATGAATCTTTGAATAATTTTCAAAATATTTTTTTGAGTCGTTGGAATCTTCTATGTATAGGATATCACCTTCAAATGGAAAGAATGTTACTTTATCTTTACCAATTTGGATGCCATTGGTTTCCCTATTCTTCTTTGCATCTCTGACTATGTCTTCCAACTCAACATTGAATAGGAGTGGTGATAACCCTCATCCTGCTCTCATTATTGTTTGCAAGGGAAATGCTTTCAATTTCTTTCTGAATGAGGTTGGTCCTTAGTTTTGTATATATGCTCTTAATTATGTTCAGGAATTTCCCTTTGATTCCTACTTTGTTGAGTGTTTTCATCAAGAATGGATGTTGGAGGTTTCTGGTTTTGGCAGGGGCAGAAGCAGAGTCAAATAGGACAGGCTCTATGGGGGAGGGACTGAAAACCCAGAGAAACTGCTTTAACGGAACAATCCCAGAGCCCTGGATCAAGCATAAGGTGCAGGTGTCAGTCTTCCACACCCACCAGTGGAAAAAATGGTATAAAGGAAAATTTCACAATTTGGGAATCAATCCAGGCATGGGGCTCCTTCTGTGGTCTCCCCACCTGGGCTGAGTTCAGAGGGCAGGGTCACAGCCTGACCGGCACAGTGAACTGGCGGTAAACCCTGCACAAAGACATTTTCAAAAGGAGGTGTGGGGGGATTCTACACATTTCTTCCTCTTCTTCCCTGTAGTACCTTCTTTGCCCAGCCTGGATGCTTTCAGGGTCCCAGCCCTAAAGTTAACTTGTGTGGGACCCTTTACTTCTACCTACTAGCAAGAAAAAAAGGAAGGCTGGCCTGACACACAAACCATATGAACAATATGTAAAACCCCAACATAAAAGGACAGAACTAGGGAGGGCGGGGCCACAGCCAAGTGGAGGCAGTGACCCAGCGTTAGAAGCCATGGAGCTGCACATCTGGAGGGAGAGGTGTGACTGATTTTCCATCTTTCACTTTTCACTTTTCACGTATCTTTCCTCTTCACTCCAATCATGCCCTCACTGCCCAGCCCAGATGCCTTCAGGTGGGTGGGATCCAGCCCCAAAAGGATCCAGCATTGCACCCACAATTTTCCAACAGCACAGAGAGGAAACCCACAGACTGCTTCTTATGACTTCGGACTCTGGGACCCAGCCCCAAAGTTGACTTGGGTGGGACCCTTTATCCCTGCCTGCACAACAAAGGCCAGTCAACAATCACAATTTTATTTTTGTTTTGGATTGGTGGTTTCTGTCTCTGCTTTTATATGGTTTCTGTCTTTGGTCCTTTTGGCCTCACTCTTTTCCCAGGGGTTGGAGCTTTCTCCCCCTACCTTACCCAAGAAGAGACAGCAACTGTGCTTATATAGCCAAGTTACAAGCATACCCTATAATACCCCACCATCTGGACAAGAGCCAAAACCAGTGGCAAAGCATTACATGTGAAAAGGGAAGCTTATCTCCAGATCATATCCACCAGGAGATGCTTAGTAAGCTTAACAACAAAGCAACCCACATCCATACAAGCATTAAAAACCCACATAACGAATGGAGTTTGATGGCAGCTAGGACGCAGGTACAGTGAAGGTCACCATCAGCAATAGCATAGAATACCAGGCAAAGCAGAGCCAGGGCAGAGCTCCGAAACTCGGAACCACAGAGATAGGGATATCTTAAAGGTTTGAAGGCTTATAGCTTGTGGAGTTTGGAGCTGCAGTAAAAAATCACGTACTTTTGAATCTCCCGGGCCAGGCTTGGCTCAGAGGCCTGAGCCGACATCCTGGGTGAGACCAAGCAGCAGGATGAAACAGGAGGAGCAGAAACACCATGGAAAAATGCTGCGGGAACCTTAGGACAAAGGTGGACAATATACTTTGTCAGTTTTGCTTTGTTCTGATTTTCTTTTTTGCTTTGGTATCTGGTAATTGGCGCATTCACTGTTTGCCCATGTCCATTCTGGTGAATAGAGGGAGAGCCTGAGCCGAGTGGCCACCCCCCACCCTCACCGCTGGTGGGTTCTTCTGCCACAAATGCGCACAGATACTCAGCACAAGCAGACGTGCTGATCTGTTTCCTTTTTGTTCTGTTTTTTATCATGGGAAAGAAGAGAGGGCTGAAGTGTCTGAAAGAGAGTTTAAAGACAAAATCTCTCAGGCAGCTTTGAAGGCAGGAACTTAGGACATTAAAGAAATACTTATATTAAGCTACAGATTCCCCTGCCCCCTTTTTCATCTCTCCTTCCTCTCCCTTTTCTGTGATTAGAGACTGCAGTATTCAGTCTTGTTTTTGTTGGTGCTGTTTTTTCTTTTTTTTTTTCTTTTTTCTCCTCATTCTCTCATT